ATATATATATATATCATCTACCCTCTTGACTGAAAGAAGACAATACTTAACTGAATGAAAAGTCCCAATAAAGGAGAATACTATAACTTATGAGACTAGGATAATGTTAATAAATTCAGGAATACGAACTTCTCTTTATGTCTCGTTATAAAACACATGTAGTTACGACAAGCTTATTTTATAATAAAACGGGCAGTATCTCCCCTATAATCTTTACTTCTTCACAATTAAACATAACACCAATAACAACAAGAATACAAAAATAACAATATGTATACATTATTTTCCAACTTTATATCCATCACAAAATACCACAAAACAGCCCACACACCGCAATCAGTTCATACACAAAATGACAACTCTAGTAGTGTCAAACAACCCGAAAATATAACGACGAATGACCAACCAACCACCCTTCCATTAGGTGGTGTTTCTCCACACCCTTTATCCTCCCAAACTACATAAAAACAGTAGCAACAGAGACAACCCAATAGCAACACAAAACAACCCACAAAACACTCCCACAAGTTCAACAATTCAAAACTGATTTTTCAGTTTACTAAAACACGTTTCGACTTGTGTTTTCTTTTATATTGAGTAACACAAATAACAGTACATAATTAAGCCTCTTATCCTATAAACTATCTATGAATTAAACTTAAAAATAAGTTCACAACCAGCAAATAGTGACACAACAACAAACAACATACCACTCTTTCGAAACTCGCTAGGTCTAGTCTTTACGATCGAGTTACAACTCGTACAAGCATAGATAATGGAAGGATAAGCATAACCTTACCTTGGACAGAGTAGAACCCACGAAACCTAGTCCTTCTTCATCAAAAATCAGTCCCCCAACGTAGCTACATGAAGGAGAAAGATAAACTAGCAAGTTGTCCGGGGTTTTCGACACTAGAATCACATCATAACACCCGAAATTACCTAGGGTTTGTGTGGAATTTTTTGGGAGGAGTTGCAGGGGTCAATATTGTTTTAATGGTCTGAATGATGAGTGAAATAAATGAGTTAATTATCCCTTAAAAGTCCCCTCTTGGCCGACTTAATTGAGGCCTCTCCTTTTGGCAAGAAGGTGATGCACCTACTTGTGACCTACCAGTCTGCGCAGTCTTGCGAACACGCAAATATCTCTCTACTCCAATGTTATATCAACGAACAGTTTAATCAATTGGAAACTAAACTCGTAGATATTTAATTTTGTAGGTATATCATCCCGTAATTCCAAGTACATTGGGAGAAATGCTCAGCTATATTTGACCTAATTTTAAGTATATTTATGAGTGTAACCTGTGATGATCTTAGCCAACTTTTGTTCCACAACTCGCTTGGCTTCAAATATAATACACGACTATCACAAGACTAAAATGACTCATAACATAACCTCCTTATCATGAGCACCCTAGTCTCACCCCAAAAGTACATGTTATAACATTCCTAACTTGTCGACTTTCGATGAAACTTATTTTTTTCAATTCGTTTAGTTTTTAAGCCTTCCAACTCTCTTGGTACTTGCAGTTCATGATCTTAAATATTTGTAACCTCCAAGTTAACATGATTAACTTACTTTATGTAATTTCAAAGATGATCTCATTTCTGAGCTTACATCAATTGACTTACGACGTACTCTTACGTACGAAAACATGGGGTGTAACATGATTCCCCCCTTTGGAACATTCGTCCTCGAATGTTGGCTGATGCGCTTATGAGTCTCATAACCCATAGTTGTTACGAATATTTTAATACTGTCCTTGCCATCTAGGCAACTGTTCTGTGAATAAATTCAAAGGACATGGCATTCCCCCATTTAGGCCTCTTTCTCACACCATGACTTGTTGTCAGAATTCTTCCAATCTCGTACCTGTTGCGATCTTCTGTCATGCAGCCTGCATGACTTTGTCCTTGTATATTTATCCTTATAGCTTTACTACATCTAGGTAGGTTATACTATACCATAACACTTACTTTGGTTTATTATTACCGAGGTGTGCTGCGCAACTCTAGGTTACTCTTTCGTTGCTTATCCTATATGTATAAATCTAAGCCCTTTAATGCTTTTTCATTACTGTTCATCTTTAGAATGACAGCCTAATCTCATCTCATACTTTGTAACTTTTATCCATCTATTATTGATTCACCTTAATATTGATCTATAGTCTACCACTGATAACTTGAAACCTCTTACTTAATACATTTTCACTAGGGCTCATGTCTTATCGGGAATATCTGCAGCTATTTGCCTGATCCACGTAGGGATGATACTAAACTTCAATAACCATATTTCATAGCATCCCAACTTGATTCATCTTATGGGGGTATTCTAATCCCATGCAATTCATGAAATGACTTCTCTTTGAATCATTACTCAATCGAAGGCCTAAATGTCATCCTCTTATCATTTATCACAATTACACCCTTATTCTACTAACAATGTAGCATTCCCTCTTTTCCAAATGCTCCTAGTCTTAAATCCCTCGAGTTTATTCAGGTTGTACTGAGCTTTTTATAACTTACGGAAACTATCAGCTCTGTTGTTTTTATGGGTTTAATCGCGAGGATTTACCTATTCTCGTTACCTTCTCACTTATCTTTTCCTATCCTTACTCCCGTCTACCTAAAACCTTGTCTCTCTGCCATACTTTAGCTTGCAACCTATATATATCTATTTATACTACTCTTAACCTTCCTTTAACTTGATAGCACCACATATTTCCTTATATTATTCAGGAACCTCAAGCGAGATATCACATCGTCTCTAACTCTTCTTTACTCTCTTAACTAGACCTCTCGATACCTGGACACCATAGGCTAGAAGATATGCCACTGACGACACAAGATACTGAATCACAACGCTTCTAATCCTCTATTTGAAGTCTGGACTATTCACAACCTTCTGCACTTGAGTATCTCGTACCTTCTTCACCTTTACCTTACTTACCTTTAAATCTAGCATCGTATTTTCTATCTCTTTCATAACCACCCTTCCACATAGGTGGAATTCACATCCACAACTTAATACACTACCATAATACTTGCACCTCTAGTGCATACATGTAATGACATGACCGGTTATTTTGGGCATTTACGCCCCTTTCTACTATTTGAAGTTTTGAATAGATTCATACGATGTATTATGACTTGTGTGAATTGTTGGTTTTAGTTTTTAGGTATTTCAGAGTTAGTTTGGAAGAATAAAATTCAAGGTTTAAAGCTTAAGTTGAAAAGGTTGACCGGATATTGACTTACATGTAAACAACCCCGAAATAGAGTTCTGATGATTCCAATAGCTCCATATGGTATTTTGGACTTAGGACCGTGTCCAAAAAATTATTTAGAAGTTTGACCGAGGAGTTGGCAACTTACTCATATTTTTGGCAACTTCGGTAAACGACTTGGGATTTTCACTGATACACTTGAAAGATAGATCTATTTTCAGAAATTATGATTTAGTTGAGTATTTATTATTTGAGTTACTTCTTTTATTACTTGCTTTATATTGTTATGAACTGTTGTTAGTTAT